CACACATACATACATATATATATACATATATATATGTATGTATTTATATATAAAAGACAAGGGACATACCAGTCTTCAACAATTACTTACTGCAGTTTTATTTCTGACTACTAATTATAAAAAGAAACAACCCTAAAAAAGAATAAATATGTTGATTGTGAAATGTTAAATATTAGGTACTTGGCATGCATAGCACTTTATCATTGTGTCATTCATCAAACCTCTTATGTTAAAACATAACCTATGTTTCAACCAAATGGTGTATGTAACGTTTAGCTGGGCTTTACCACCAGCTGAGTAATCTGGGAAATATTATAGGTAGAATGGTACTTTAGAAGTATAAAATGTAAATACAGCTGGAAAGTCCTGCAAGACAGTGCAAAATTTTATTTCAGGCATCAACCATAAAGAAGTTGAGCTGTGTACTTAAGTTCAAAGCAAAAGAATTGCTCTGTGATCTGTGAAAGTTTATATGGTGAAATAATAAAATTAAAACTGGTGAAGTTCTATGCTGTGAGGCATAATGAGGAAAATGCAGTTTTTATCCTAAATACATTTTACATGAATTTTGTCTGACACATTTAGGATTCATCAGTGGTGATTATGGGAAGAAAACTAATTAAGTAATGCAATAAAATCATATTTTAATTGCTAGTAACTGTTGATTTTTCAAGTTAAAATTAAAATATTAAACTTCAAATGTATTATATCAAAGCAACACTACCACCAGCATCACTATCAGCCAGCATTTGCTGTATACCTTCTTTATATGAAAGGGATCAATAACAGATTTCAAAACTCAAAGAATAACTAGGTGGAAAAATGTAATAGCATATATTACTCTTTTATCACATAGTAAAACTGTTTTATAATGAAGGAACCTAATGTATAAATTATTTTTTCTAAACATTTTCCAAGTGAGGTGAGCTGATATTCACATAAGAATCCAAACCTCATACACTCAATCATTGCATCACCAAAATAAGTCACAGAATCTTCTTTTTGGAAAGTTTCCAAGAATAGTAATGAGCTGCTATCTTAAATATTGATGTAAGTAGCCTGAGAATTTCATATCATATGCAATCATGGGATTAGACAGCCAGTTAACCTGTCGCATGATGATTTCAAGATGTGAATAAAGGCTTAAAATTTGGCAAGATCTGTATGAGGATTACTCAAGGATATTTATTACTTCTTTCAGGAACAGCATCTGTTGCAGTTGCAGGACTCCTTGCAGCTCTTCGAATAACCAAGAACAAACTCTCTGATCAAACAGTACTATTCCAAGGGGCTGGAGAGGTATCTGCCTTGTATAATACTTATGTTCTTCTAAGCTAATGAACTTATACAGGGTTGCAATTACTTATTAATTCAACGTTTGAGTTATTCTTTCAAAATTTTAGTATATTTCTGTTGAAACTTTATTGAATATTCCCAAATTAAGTACTAGGTATATTAATTTGAATTTCAAATTTATAGGTTATAAAATATTGCCGTAGATTTTTGTTATACATATTTAAGATTCTATGCAGGAAAAAAGTTTGCAGTATATGAGTTTATATGAAAGCCTTCAAGTTTTTAAGCTAGCATTAGCGATGTTTTTAGTATCCTCCAGTGTTACATACAAAAGTTTTCTTAATCTGACTCACAATTCAGTGTACACATATAAATGTGTATTTCTAAGAAAAACAACATTTTGAATTAGAGACTTACAACACATTATAATTATTCTTAGGCAAAAGACCAACAACATTTTATTTTGTTGTATGAAGATACAAGACCAAATTAAAGTTTTTATCATTTTCTATAATTTAGTCATTTGAAAGAAGAAAACTAGACTTCAGTAATAATAATCAGCTCCAAAATAGAAAATAAAATGTTGGTTGAGTTTAAGCTTCATTTGGAAATATTGCCAAAACCTCTTCAGAATTATAGAATGTAATAAATGGAGAAATACTTCATATATATATATATATATATATATATATATATATATATATCACACACATAAAATGTAC